TGAGATATCTAATAGATATAATACCATCATTGTCATCTTGTCATACTGTGGTGCTTGTGTGATTCTGGGCGGTATGCCACTGGCAGGGTCATCAAGGAGCCATGGTATCTTAGTGGGCCACACATTAAGCTGCTAATCACAAGGTCAGCAGTTCAAAACCTACCAGTCTCTCCAGGAGAAAGATGAGGCTCTTTGCTATTCTAAAGATTTCAAGTCTCCAAAACCCAAGTTCTACTCTGTCCCACAGGTTCTGTGTGTCCAAATGGACTGGATGGCAGTGGGATTTGAGTTGGCAGGGCATCATCCAAGATGGGAAGATTTCAGCGGAGATTCCAAACTAAAACAGAATCGGAAGGAAGAATTGATGATCTCGTTTGGGGGAAAAAAATTTGTCACTGAAAACTTGATGAATAACAGCAAAACTGTGCCAGAGATGAATCCCTCAAGCTGGAAGACACTAAAAATACAACTGGGGGAGTGCTGTCTTTTTAGCATGGAGTCACCTGTAATTCATGATTCATAATGAGAAAAGGTGTCCATTAAAAATCACAATGTGGAATAAATGAAGTCAGAAATTAGATAAGTTGGTAGTATTCAAAAATAGGGTGCATAGAGATGGATATCCTAGGCATCACTCAAAGCTCACTGCCAGCTAGTTGATTCTGACTCAGTGACCCAATATATAGCACAGGGTAGAATTGCCCCTACAGGGTTCCAAGACTATAATTCTTAAAGGGAGTAGAAAGCCTTGCCTTTCTCCCATGGATCTCCTGGTGGTTTCAAACTGCTGACTTTGTGATTAGCAGCCCAATGTGTAACCCACTATGCCACCAGGGCTTCAGTGAACTTAAATAGACAATTTGGAGTATTAGCAACTTTGAACCAATCTTATGGTCTGCTATGTTAGGAATGACAAACAGAAGAGAAATCATTTTGCATTTGTGTAAAAAAATCTGTTAATGAAATACAATGCTGTCAGTGACAGGGTAATATCTAAACAGCTATAAGGAAGACCAATTTATATGACTATTATTCAAATCTCTGCACTAACAATGAAGCCCAGCCCACCCACTGTGATCAAGTTGATTCCAACTTACAGGGCAGGGCAGAACTGCCCCTTAAGACTTCTGAAGGTGTAAATTTTTACAGGAGCAGACAGCCTTATCTTTCTACTGCAGCCTGCAGACACTGAGTATTTTTACCACTGTGGTAATATGAAGTGGATCAAGCATGCAGTCGAGAAGCACTGATCATCAGTGGTAACTGGAAACAAAGGTGAAGGCTCAGCAGTTGGAAAACATGTTCTTGGAGTTAGAAATGACACTGGGGAGCACGAGGGAGATTTGTGAGACCAACTACTTATTCCTTGCAAGTAATAATTTTAACAACCTAACAGACATGTGAACCTCACCAGATGGAACACACAGGAATCAAACAGACTCTGTAGAAAGAGATGCTGGAGAAGCTCAATGCATCAGCAGTTAGAACAAGGGCTAGGGCCAGCTGTGAAACAAACCATCAGTTGCTCATATTCAAGTTCAGGTTGAAGCTGAAGAAAATGAAAAGAAGCTCATAATCGTCAAAAGGCAAACTTGAATATATCCTACCTACATTTCTAGAACATCTCAAGGACGCAGTTGAAGCATTGAACACTAATGTCTGAAGACCAGGTGAGTTGTGGAAGGACTTCATACACGAAGAAACAAAAGGATCATTAAAGACACAAATAAAAAGGAAAAAACCAAAATGGATGACAGAAAGACTTTGAAACTTGCTCTAAAATATTACAGAGCTAGAGTGAAAGGAAGAATTAATAAAGTAAGAGTCCAAAGGGTGATTTCAAAGTAAAATATTATAATGAAATGTGCAAAGACTTGGAGTTAGAAAAGTAAAAGGGAAAAATATGCTAAGCATTTTTTAAGATGAAAGAAAAAGACAAGCTTCCACTGGCAATATTGAAGGATTCTGTGGACAAAATGTTGAACAATGCAGGAACACATAGAGTTACCATGCCACCCCCTTCCCAAATTGATCAATCATTTCAGGAGGTGGTCAAGAACAAATTATATTGAAGAAAGAACTCTAAGCTTCCCTGAAGGCACTGGTGCAAACCAAGGTTCCAGGAGCTGAGAGAATACCCATGGAAATATTCCAACAGCACTGCAAGTATCCACTCGTCTATTCCAACAGCACTGCAAGTATCCACTCGTCTATTCCAACAGCACTGCAAGTATCCACTCGTCT